TTTTAATATTGATTAGAACAGGAAAATAATTATCAGCTCATTGTATTGGCCAGAATTTTAAAGGGATTTTTTTGCCCAAACATGAAAATTCTGTCATCAGTTACGAACCGTTCTTGCTTGGTGTGCGAGAACCAATGAGGTTTGTTCTCACATGTCACGCAAGCATGTTTGAGCTTCCTCAAGAACCTATCAGGGTTTGTTCTTATGTGCACTGATCAATGTTTATTTGTGAACAAAAGCCCAAAATAAATCTGTTCATCATATAAAGCAATCATGTCTCTTGGCGTAAACTGTTGGATTAATTTGGATTACTTTTACAGCCTTTATGAACTTTTTGAAGCTTTGATGGAATGATTTTTTTTATATATATCTTCATTTCTGTTTCGAAGATGAACGACATGTGAGTGAGTAAATGATGACAGAATTTTGTGAGCGAACTATCCTTTTAATATCGGTGCATCCCTATTTTACTGTGTGATGCATTATGTTGCAGAATAAATAAGGTGTAGTAAGATGGTCTTTGTAAAACATCAGATCAATATTGGATGACGATCACGGTGTTAAAATATCGGTTTTTGATATCAGCCTAAAATTTCCTGATCAGTGCACCATTACTAATTATCATTTGGTTCCACAGAAAGCACATACTTCAACTTGTAGTGTTTTTGTACACCTAAACCATTCATTTGTGTGATCTTACAACAGATGTTGCATTGCAGGCATCTCCAGAGGAGGCAGATCCTGTTTCCAGCTCCTCCTGTATGGCAGTGGCCAGCACAGGTGCTCTAAAACAGACACAGAAATAAAAAATATCAGCATTCCAGCATGATTATCCACATGTGTCCCATACCTCCATCTGTCCTTTCCAATGCATAAATAAGTGCTTACAGGTGGTTTTCCTTGTTAGGTCCAAAGGAGTCATTGATGTCTCTCTGCAGGTGAATGGCCAGGTGGGGGATCCTGAGGATGGGACGGGGAACATGAACCAGACGCTGCACAAGCTTCCCTTCACTCTGTACAAAAATATACAAACAGACAACTCTTGTAAAAGTGAGTGTTATTCATTAACAACGAAGGATTCAAAGGAACCTGGGTATGTTTTACATTTCTGTATCACAGAGGAATACACACATCACAGAGGCTTACCTTAACCATTACACGACCTGCGATGGTCAGGTCACGATCAAACCAAGTGTTCCAGATTCCTCCTCCATAACACTCCACTCCTATCTGCAAGAAGCCTAACTTTGTCTTCTTAGAGCGTGGCTTTACCTAAGCACACGTGCACAAGAAATTATGAATGACACCTGCATACATCCGCTATTTTCATTCATGTGGAAAACAGCTATAATGTAATTACTGTACACAGCTATTGAACACTCAGAGAACTGATGATATTTCATCTATATTAAAGCATCACAGAGCATCTTGTGTCTTTTCTTCTCACCCTCAGACATGGACTGTCCGTATGAGCCCCGATCATGGAAAAACCATTTCCAGGCTTGTAGAGACCACCGACAGCAAAAGCAATAATGGTGGAGTAATTCCTGGTAACAAAGTACTGGAAAGAAAAAGATTACAGTGAATAGAGTGAAAATATATTTATTTTAATATGAGCAGCACCGAGTTGTTTCTCATTCTGTATAGAAATAACAGACTAAGCTACATATGGCCAAAGATATTTTATGATTATTTTTTATAATATGCACCTTTAAAAGTCATTCCCCCAGCTGTAGGAGTTCATTAAAGGAATAGTTCATCCAAATTTAATGCAAATCTATTCACCCTCAGGCCATTTAGGATGTAGAAGTTGTTTTTTCATCAGAACAGATTTGAAGAAACTTCACTTGCTCACTAATAGATCCTCCGCAGTGAATGGGTGCCATCAGAATGAGTCAAAACAGCTGATAAAAACATCACAAGTAATCAACACGACTATCAACGAGTTCATCAGTTAATGTCTTGTGAAGTGAAAAGCTGCATGTTTGTGAGAAACAAATGCATCCTTACAACGTTTTCAACTTAAAATCGAGTCCTCCATCCGTAATATTGCTTTCTCCAGTTTAAAAGTGGTCTCATCTGAATGAGGAGAGAAATATGCACAAATCAAGCACTGTGAAAACAGTCTAAAACAGTTCTAAACATGTTGGTGGATTTTGATGTGAGAGGACAACAGGTGATGAACTTTTCACTGGAAGATGCTTTATTATGGATTATAGACTCGTATTTTGTATAGAAGTGACCGTTTAAAGTTAAAATGACTCAATGACGAATTTGATTCTTACAAACACGCATCTTTTCAATTCACAAGCGTAATTGATGGATTGGAGTCATGTGGATTATTGTGATGTTTTTATCCACTGCAGAGGATTCATTGGTGATCAAGTGATGTGATGCTACATTTCTCCAAATCTGTTCTGATGAAGAAACAAACTCATCTACATGTTGGATTTAAAGCAAATTTTCATTTTTGAAATAAGTTAAGATTAAAGAACACGCACACCTTACTGGCAGGTTTAATGTCCCAATGCTCAGCCTCCTTGAGCTCAGTAAAACCAGCCTTCAGCAGGCGAGATTTACACTCCTCCACCACTGCGAGACAAAGGAGGAAAGTAGACGTTAGATATACGAAGTGTAAAGTAACACAAAATTAATCTCATGCACGTTCCAGTACAATGCTTACAAAACATTACAAAACCTGTGAAAGAACATTCTTTCAAAGTCTAGATCAAGATCTATTGTCCATATCTGGAGTATCAGCCAGGGAAGAACAATGTCCAAGACCCATACCTAGTAAGTCTGTAAAGCTGGGTAATCTTATTATCGACAAAGTGTAGCTCAAACTCTAAAAAGAGTAGAATTTATGCATTTCAATGCAATTTACATTGTCATGGCTTGCAGCTCAATATACAGCATTTCAATCCCATGTCATTCTTACCATGGTAAGGTGAAACTCCCTTATTGACAAAATTAAGAAACCCTTTGGCAGCAGCCTGCACAGCTTCTTTGGAGCTTTTCATGATGAAAGACTGTAAAACATACAAGAAACAATAAATATAAGCACAGACAGAGAAAGCAGCTAGTCATATGTACAGATACTATTTCAGATCAACAACTGTATTAGTGACCGCGTGAAACCAGCTGTATTCTTGTCTCGGAGATTTTTATTATCATGCTTTAGTAAAAGCACATGACGTGAATATTTGAGAAACGACATCAAATACAAATACACACACACTCACTCACTCACTCTCACACACACACACACACACACACACACACACACACACACACACACACACACACTAAACCTCACTGGAAACTTTCTGCATTTTTAGATTTTCACAAAACTTCATTCTGTATGGTTTATAAGCTTTTGTACCCGTGGCGACCACAATTTAGGTCCCCACCGTGACACAAGTCCCTATGAGTCTCAGGTTTAAGTCCCCACCAGGATATATAAACCAGTACACACACTCACTCACACTCTCTCTCTCTCTCTCTCTCACTCTCTCATACACACAC